GCTGAAACAAATGCTCCGTTTCAGGTTGAATCCAAATTTCATTGACCTGAAATGTGTTTCGCTTTTGCATTTATGTTTGTTTTCCCCAAAGTAGATTTTGAAATTAAATAATTATTTTGAAATGAAAAGTTGCCGTTTCATTGCGAATATGCCAAAAAAATCTGGCAGAAGCAACTCAGTGGAGCTCATGCAAATTCCCAGGTTGTTTTGATTTACTAGAATACACATTATTTGGGGGCAAAAGTAAGTTTCTCATGAAAAAATTAATGAATTTGGGAGAAAAAATAGCATCTGTGCTTTTTTTCCAGCTACTGAACAAGTTAGCTTCCTCCCACCTTGTGCCCCAATTCCATATTCTGCATTGAGAAAATAAAGGGTTTGAAAAGTCTGGAAAGCCAACTATTTGCATTACAACTGAACTAATAAAAGCTTTCTGCAACTGACAGACAATGATAGAGATCACGCAAGAACTATAAGGTAAAAAAAACAGTGATGCAGATACACAGTGAAAGTTTTAAATAAGTGCATTGAAAGTCGGAGGAAGAGAGCTACCACGTGACACAGATATACAGATTAAAGCAAACATTATTCTCCTGAAGTTATGCTTTCCTAGTTATAACAATCAATTTTGGTCCCCTTGATATTAATGGCAAGACTGCTGTTGAATTTAGTGGGCCCAAGATACGAAACAAGGTATGTTAGGGATTAGGATTTAGGAACGATGGTCCAGATTGTGCTTTCCTCTTACACCCAAGAGTAACCCAACAGATTTGAATGGCAGGGCAAATATGCCCCTCTGTACTCTACAGGACCCATTACATTGAGTCGGAGCTTAGCCATTAGTATCAAGAGCACCCAAACAGACCGCAGTCTAGGAAGCGGCACAGATCTGCCTGGCTGCAGATTCCCTCTCTCGGCTAAGAGAGATCCTTTGTGGGAGCAGCTTCTCCCCGACTCGGTTGGGTGTAACCCAGATGATCGCATTCGCAAAAGGGAATGAAAAAAACCCAGAAAGGAGGATGAAGGGGGGAACGGGCTGATCCCGGTGTAGTTTCCTCGCGGGAAGTCGCTATGCTGCAGCCTCTGCACGGAGTCCCACAGCTCCGGCTTCCCCGCCTAGTAGCGACGGGAAGAGGGGACTCGCGGCTCGGCGGAGGGTCCCGGCTCAGCTCCGGACCTGACCCCCCCCCCCCTTCCCCTTCCCA